AAACTCCAACTCCCCTCATACCGCACTGACCGCGCGCCCTAATGACCTAGAACGCCACGTGGAAGAAACATACACGATATTCCCTGTCGTCCCTAAAGCATTGCATCACCGCTTACGCTTCCCACACCCTGCCAATTCATCGCAAACACAGACCCATGGCGTCTTCGCAGTCCAACCACATCCCCGCAACGCATAACGCCTCCGCGCAACGCCATTCTCCACTACTGGCTAACATGCCACTTTCCACCCTCACCTCAACCGCGCGTCAAAGGTCACCTACCTCCGTGACGCTCATCACCTGTCTTGAAGCTCCTGCACCACGTATAAAGTGCTGGAACGAATGACGCGCCTTCTCAAGCGCCAACAAGAGCCTTCCGTCTCATTTCATATCTGTATTCGTCGCAATGATGTACTTGGATGCGGGGCACCGTGCGCATGGCAAACAACAGCCAAACACCACTCAGGACCACTCACAAAACGGCGTCGCACCACATCGGGCACGCACCCAAAACGTTGGCGCAACGCATGCACGCCACAAAGACCAGTTCTTCTCTGTTCCTAACCGCTCGAGCATCATTGATACGCGTGCCGTACTCTGGCAAGTACTCCTGCGCGTCCTACGGAAACGCAAACATACGGGCTGAGCCAACGTTAGAGTCCCGCACAAGAGAAATCTTCCACTTCCCCACCAGAAATTCAACAAAGAGCCAAACCCAGCCCATGCTCTCCTCCATGCACCAAAGTAACACCGCGCAGCGACGTTCACAGTCGGATCAATTCATACCCCAAATTCATCCTCTGCAGAAACACTGTGCCACAAGTGCAAACGTTCCTGCATTCATCGAAGGCTAATGCAGCCTTCGCCACACCTCAAGGCTCAAAATAAATACACAGAACCTGCAACCAAATTCCCAACGACTCTTCCCAAACACACTCTCAGTGCCACAAGTGCGAGTGGCTACTCGATTGTGCAAGCCAAATAACCGCCTGTGCTCTGCCAGGGTTTGCAACGCATCGCCGTGCCGCCTTTCCCCAGCTTCTACACCCCATCAGCCGGTATTCCACCACTGCAAACCACTCAACAGAGACAAACGCGCACACCTGTTCTACTAAGGAGCTTTTGACGTAATCCCTCCAGTCACTATGACCTGTAATCAAGGGCCACACGCACATCGCAGACCTGCCATCCCCCGCTGCTCACATGCGGCCCAAGCTGCATTCCCTACTGGTATCATGCAGCAATACCCAAAAACCAAAGCGGTGAGCAGGGCATCCTTCCTTCCAGCATCCTGCGACTATTCGCATCTCCCGCTCAGCATCTCCTTATCCACAATCTGTTTGATGCTTGCCCCGGTGTCCGCGATCCAACGAAAATAGATCGTTTCCGCTTTTGCGTCCCATGCCGATGCTTCAAATGATCACCTGCACGGATCCACATGTGCATCAACTCATACCTACACATTCAACAAAAAAATACAGTTTCTGCCACTGCATTCCATCCAGACTTTTGCACAGCTCACCTCCTGAGCAGATCCACGCTTGTCTCAACTCATTCCCAGGGTGCTTTTCACGCTACCCTCAACCATACGTCAACGTTCTCCGGCATCCTCCCATGCTGCCCCATGCCCTTCACGCCGCTTCCTACTTACTCGAGACTGCCAACCTAGCTGAGAGGCACTTGCTCGCGATTAAAGAAACCGCTGCGCATCAAACTCCAACTCCCCTCATACCGCACTGACCGCGCGCCCTAATGACCTAGAACGCCACGTGGAAGAAACATACACGATATTCCCTGTCGTCCCTAAAGCATTGCATCACCGCTTACGCTTCCCACACCCTGCCAATTCATCGCAAACACAGACCCATGGCGTCTTCGCAGTCCAACCACATCCCCGCAACGCATAACGCCTCCGCGCAAAGCCATTCTCCACTACTGGCTAACATGCCACTTTCCACCCTCACCCCAACCGCGCGTCAAAGGTCACCTACCTCCGTGACGCTCATCACCTGTCTTGAAGCTCCTGCACCACGTATAAAGTGCTGGAACGAGTGGCGCGCCTTCTC